CGGAACCATAGACCATGAAGAAAGGTGTGTAGCCGGTGGCCCGGCTAGGAGTTGTCCTTAGGCTCCAGAGCACCGCGGGGAGCTCGATGACCCAGCGTGCACCAAATTTATTCAACCGGTTGAAGATCCTAGGTTTGAGGCCCTATAGAAGCATGCCATTTGCGTGCTCGACCTGCCCGTTCGTTCGGGGGTGCGCGATAGTGGCCCAATCGACCCGGATGTGTTGTTCATCGTAGAATCGAAGGAATTTCTTACCAGTGAACTGTGTGCCATTGTCCGTGATGATGGAGTTCGATACTCCAAAGTGATGGATGATGTTGAGGAAGAACAGCACAGCTTGCTCGGACTTGATCATGGAGATCGGCCGAGCTTCGATCCATTTTGTGAACTTGTCTATGGTGACAAGTAAGTGGGTGTAGCCCCCGGGCGCCTTCTTGAGAGACCCAACCAGATCGAGCCCCTAGACCGCGAAGGGCCACGTGATGGGGATCATCTAGAGTGCCTGGGCTGAGAGGTGAGTTTGCCGAGCCCAGTACTGGCGCCCTTCGTAGGTGCGTACGATCTGCTCAGCGTTGGCTACTACAGTGGCTGGTTCGGTCATATAGACCTCGCGGTGCGCGACCTTCTGACAGCGTTTGGAGTCGTAGGCCGCTGATCCTCCAAAGATCATAAAATAGCCGTTCGGCGTCAGAAAGTCGTCGTCCTTCTCCTCGGCGTCGTCCACGGTGGGGGTAGGGTCCTTTTCTTGCTCCCCTTTGTTGGAGCCTCTGGACATGAACCATCGCATGAGGCTATAGTCTTTGAGTAGATGTTTTACCGAGAAGGCGTGGTTCGGCCACGAGCGAGTCCTCGCGCCGTTGCTTCTTGTTCTTCCTTTTGGCAGAACGGTTGGAGGTGCCTTCACCGGCGCCCTCGTCCCACCTTGCCTTGCCCTTAAGACGATCGAAGATCGCTCCGACCGCCTCTTCTCCTGAGGCGTGGCTAGTGGTGATGTCTAGGAGTTCCTTGGTGGTTCGTGGGCCCTTGCGTCCTAGCTTATGAACCAAAGACTCATAGGTAGTCCCGGATAGGAAGGCTCCTATGACGTCGGCGTCGGCGACATTAGGGAGCTTATTGCACTGCTGGGAGAAGCACCAGATGTACCCATGAAGGGTTTCACCAGCCTTCTAGCGGCAGTTCTTGAGGGCCCATGGGTTCCCAGGGCGCTTGTATGTGCCCCGGAAGTTCCCCACAAAGATCTCCTTGAGATCCGCCCAACTCTAGATGGCGATGGACGGTAGGTGTTCCAACCACGCTGGTGCCGAATCAGCTAAGAACAGTAGAAGGTTGCGGATAATAAAGTCATCATTATCCGCACCACCGGCTTGATAGGCAAGCCGATAGTCTTCCAGCCAAAATCTGGGGTTTGTTTCCCCAGAGTACTTAGGGATATTGGTAGGTGGTCGGTACCTTGGCGGGAAAGCAGCGTTGAGGATGTGCCGACCGAAGGCCTGAGGGCCTGGCAGGCCAAAGCTTGGGCTTCGGTCCTCGTCACTGTCATAGCGTTCACCGCGACGAGGGTGATAGCCGCGACAGGCTCCTTCTCTCGGGTCGCTGTAGGTGCGTCTACGGGCGTCGAGGGTGCTGCGTGCGTCGTGGTTACGGCCGAGGCGTTGATGCACCAGGATCACAACGCGCTGTCTGCTGCCTTGTGGTGCCTGGTGGACTGATGCGTCCCTAGCGGGGCACGCCAAGGTCATACGCTGGCTAGCGTCAAGCTCGCATCGTCAAGACAGCGAGCTCTCAGCCTGCTGTGCCGCCGCACGCTCAAGTAGCATGTGAATCTCACGGTGGGCCTGACGATCCTCGGGCATCGCGGCCTCTAGAAGGCTATGGAGCAAGACCATTGCGGCGGCGATGTTTTGGCTCGCCCGAGCGAAGCGAGGAAGGGCTTCATCATCGACGATGATCCTTTGGTTCACGTCACGGGCCCTGGCGCGTGCGCGCCTACCGTCTTCGCGGCGTTCGATCTCCCGATCGACCTCCGCGCAATCCCGCACAAGCTGGATTCTGGCTTCCTCGATCTCTCGCTTTCGGGCTCTTAGCTGCTCCACCCCTACGCGAGGTGAGGCCATTGTTTCCCCTTCAGTTTCGCCACCGAGGTTGCCTATTGGGGTTGCCTCCTCCGTGGAGATACTTTCGACGTGCCCCTCGGGGGTACCCGTCATGAAGCAGTCCCAGGAGGGGTGATGGCTCCCCCTACTAGAGTCAGAGCCAGAGGATTACCTCGGCTCCTCTGTGAGGAGGTTGTGGAGAGACTCCGTGACATGTTCGATCACCCCCACGAACTTGTTCGTAGGTGGCTGAACCATGCGTCATGCTGCGAGGTGGCTAACGGTCGCCACAGCGTTGCGGAGACCGAACGGAAGCGCTATCGGGGCACTCCGTATGCGGCGTTCCAAAGAGAGGGATCCTCCTCCGAAAGACCGCGTCAGGTCATTGACGTCGGAAAGGGTGAGGTGACGCTTGTCCTCCCTAGACTGTTGGGGTCCGAGGGAGACGCCGAGCTAGCGCCCAAGCCTCTCATGGTTGAGGCCGATGGAGGGGAGAGATTGGATGGCCGTGTGAGCCAATGTCAACTCTCCTCCCACCGTGATGATGAAGTCTAGGCTCCCAAAGCGCACGTGTGCGCCTGGGACCCAGCTGATGCCATGGTTAGCCATCCGTGGCCTGATGTGGAACGCGCAAAGACCCCCTACCTAGCGCGCAAACTGTTGATGTTTCAAATAAACACCAACTAGTAAATTTATATTTATTGTGCGTTAGGCCCGGATGGTGTGCTAAAGCATACAAGGTTTATACTAGTTCGGGCAGAATGTCCCTACGTTCAGTCTACTGCTGCTCGTGTTATTAGCACCAAAAAAGGTTCGTAGTTGGGGGTACAAACGGTCGAGAGAGGGACATGTCCCAAGTCTCTGATGGAAGAGTCAAAAGGACGCCAAGAGCTCGGTTGTTGCTTGGCTATGCGTTGTGTGGTGTGTTGTGTATGAAAAATGATCCGTCCCCTTAGTGGGGTGTCCTACCCTCCCTTTTATAGACTAAGAGGGAGCAAGGGTTACAGATGGGAGAAAGAGAAAACAACCAAAGGTAGAGACGGTCATTCGAAGGCGCCGGATCTTCCTTTTCCCATGAGCCTGCCCTGCTGACATGGCAGACCATGCCAGGGATAGCGTGTTCACTGACCCTAACATGACCGTGCCCTGGCTTTGCTTCAGCAAGTGTTATGTCCCATCCCACTCCGACGGATGGTGCGGCTTGCCGAGGTGCCGAGCCGTGATCCTATGGAGAACAGACGGGGAAGTGACTATACGTCCATACTGTAGATGATGCGAGTTCTCTCTTAGATTGTAGTGGTTGTCGTATGCTTATGTCAGAATCCGCGTCCGAGGGCTGATGGCGGCGCCCACAACACTGTAAGACAAAAGTCGGCGCCTACAACACTGTTCGGGCTCTGCCATGCCTGGAAGGGCTTAAAGCGCCTGTCCCGTCGTATCCTGACGATACTTTCCTATAGGCGTGCAGGGCATGGTCCTCGGTAGTGCGGTTGACTCGAATGTCCTGTCTTACCCTGTGCCCGTCATTATGAAGGAGCAGGGTGCAGTCGTCGGGGGAGACGGAGCCTGTCCTAGGACGTCGGGCGGGACAGAGCCAGCCCTCAGCCGTCGGACAAGGCGGAGCCAGTCTTTAGCCGTCGGGCGAGGCGGAGCCAGCGCTCGGGGGTCGGGCGGGGTGAGGCCCATCCCCGGTCGTCGGGCGAGGCGAAGCCAGCCCTTATCCATTGGGCGAGGCGGAGCTAGCCCTCCGACGTCGGGCGAGGCAGAGCCAGCCCTTAGCCGTCGAGCGAGGCAGAGCCAGTCCTCAGGGGTCGGGCGGGGCGAGGCCCGTCCCCGGTCGTTGGGCGAGGCGGAGCCAGCCCTCCGACGTCGAGCGAGGCGAGGCCCGTTCTCGGTTGTCGGGCAAGGCAGAGCCAACCCTTAGCCGTCATGCGAGGCGGAGTCCAGCCCTCGAGGGTCGGGTGAGGCGGAGCCAACCCTTAAGGGCCGGGCGAGTCGCGGCCAACCTCCGGTCGTATGGACAAGAAGTGCAGTTACGTTCTTGTTTGCTTGAAAGCATCAACGTTTGATGGTTATTAGCTTCTCCTCATTAGGTACCTCAGTATTAGGTTCCCGACAAATAGTTAGCCCACCGTAAAACTTTCACCACAGTTGGACTATAAAAACTGCAGCTATGAATTAATTATAGAAAAGCATAGATCTAAAGTTATAGTAAAAAATTTATACTAAAGCATACCATATTATATATTCATTGTGTAGATCTACTCATGTGGAGTCCAAAAAAATTAAATTTTCCAATTTTATGAATTTTCTATGATTTTTCAAAGATTTAGTCGAAATAAATAAAAAAGAAAAAGACAAAACCGCCTTTAAAAATCGCTTGTAACCGGGAGGTAAAACTAACGGTTTTAAAATTTCAGAGAGATGGTTTACCCGGTTTTAGAGTTAAGAGAGGAAAAAACAGACTTTGGCAAAAGTTAAGAGGTAATGTGGACTTTTTTTTTTAGTGGAAGTAGTTGGGCCGCACCCCCGGCACGCTGGGCCGGCACGAGCACAGGCCGCCCTTGGCCCGCAAAGGCCCGCCCCATAGAATGCCGTTAGCAGGCCAGGCGGGTCTCGCTCCTCGGCCGTTGGGGGCCTGCAAATCGGCCCGTTGGCCTGCCCCCACTCCCCCCGTATAAAAGTGGAGGGCAGCCGGTGCCCCTCCAAACCCTAGCGCACCCCGCCGTCGTTCTCTTCCTGCATCCCCTCATCTCCGTTCCAAATCCGGCTCTGGTGCTCGTCGTCTTCTGTATCCGCCCCATTCCCTAGCCGCGTCCCGCAACCAGCCGCGCCTCCTGTCCTCACGGACGCCGCGCCGCCCCCCTCGCCGCCGCACGGACGCAGCGACGAGCTGTCGCAGCAGCAATGGCGGTTGGCAAGAATAAGCGTATCTCCAAGGGCAAGAAGGGAGGCAAGAAGAAGACGTGAGTTATCTCGCCCCCTTTTCCTCTTCCGTTTGCGGATCGGAAACCGGGAATATAACGTTCAGAGATGGTCAGATTTTGCTCTTGTGGACCTTTTGGTGCGCAGATGACCACACGTCACATGATTTCTTTGAGCGAGGACACTAGGCCTGTGCGATGCTAATGCTCGGAACTGCTTGATGGTTATTTTTTCCTTTGTTGTGTCTGGTTGAGTGCAGCAACTTTTGATTGTTGATTACCTGAAGAATACTTCAGAACTGCTGAATTTATCCATCGTTACACCCATTCTAATCTGAAATTGTCCCTCGAATTTCACTGCATCTGGTGTAGATATATATAAGCTAATTTATGATGTTTCTGGCCACTTCAAAATCCTTTTTGGCTGTACTATGAACTTAATGATGCATGGCATTCGTTATCAGCTGTTCTTTGGCCTCCTCTGGCCGGTGCTGACCCGTTTTCTTGGTGTGTCTGTGTCTCTTGCCTTGCAGCGTGGATCCGTTCAGCAAAAAGGATTGGTATGATATCAAGGCTCCGTCGGTCTTCAGCGTGCGCAACATCGGCAAGACCCTGGTCTCCAGGACACAGGGCACCAAGGTATGCCCGCTCTTCACCTTCTCGCTCTGTTTGGGTATCGTATTGTTGCCATCGTGTATTGTGGTGAAGTAGTGATTGATTAGTCGCTGAGATGTATTGCTGAACCTTACTTATCCATTTGTTAGGGCATTTATTAAGTCAGGTCAGACCTATTCTTGATCTTGTGCAGTGCTCTATAAATTTGTACGCCAGAATGGTTGCACTGATCCATGTATCTTGACTTCACTACTGTGAAATCATGCCAACAACCAAGTGTATATGGCATTTCTAGCGATACTTTTGATTTAGACATTGTTCCCGATTTACAGTAGTACTATTTCACTCAGACCTTGGCTGTGTAGTATTTGCTCTGTAAGATGAGAATGAGACCTCTGTAGGCTGTCACATTTGTTATTTGTTCATATAATAAGGTGGAAGCCCTAAGATTATGCACTCTTTGGTCCGTTTTCTCTATGTATCACTATTCTGGTAAAGAATCAATGCCATTATTTGGTTAGGTAGCTTTAAAAATGATTTATGTTGACTTTCTAAGATATAGATCATTTGTTGGACCGAATTATTGGAATGGGTACTAGACTTGAGTTGAGGATCAGTAATCTTCGATGACCCTGTTGGTTCCTTTGTAGCTTTATTGGAAATTAATCAATTCAAAGTATCTATTTTATCCTTTTTTGTGATTCCATACTGTATGTATCTCAATTTATTCTGTTTGTTTTCAGATTGCCTCTGAGGGTTTAAAGCACAGAGTATTTGAGGTCTCCTTGGCTGATCTTCAGAGTGATGAAGACCAGGCGTACAGGAAGATCAGACTTCGTGCAGAGGATGTACAAGGGAAAAATGTTCTCACAAACTTCTGGGTAATGATCTCTAGTTCGCTTCACACTGTTACGAGACCTATGTTCTATATTATGTCTCTAACCATCTTGTCATCTTGTTAGGGTATGTCCTTTACAACGGACAAGCTCCGTTCGCTGGTTAAGAAGTGGCAGACACTTATCGAGGCTCATGTCGATGTCAAGACCACTGATAATTACATGCTGCGGCTTTTCTGCATTGGGTTCACCAAGAGGCGGCCCAATCAAGTGAAGCGCACTAGCTATGCTCAGGCAAGCCAAATCAGACAGGTAAGAGTTCTGGAGATATCTCATGTTTTAAAGAGCCTTGAATCTCTCTTAGCTTGTCGGTTGTCTTGTCATATTAACACCATTTCTGTTTTGGTAGATTCGTCGGAAGATGACCGAAATCATGAGCAACCAAGCTTCAACTTGTGATCTGAAAGAGCTCGTGTCCAAGTTCATCCCTGAGGTCATTGGAAAGGAAATCGAGAAAGCCACCTCTAGCATATTCCCCTTGCAAAATGTCTTCATCCGCAAGGTGAAGATCCTGAAAGCACCAAAGTTCGACATTGGAAAGCTCATGGAGGTAACTACTTGCAGCAAAGTTTTTGTCTGTTCATGTACTTTATAGTCATTGTGGCTTTTTTAGCTAATAATGCCCTCTATGATGTTCAGGTCCATGGTGACTATGCCAAGGAGGATGTTGGTGTCAAGATGGACAGGCCTGCTGAAGGTGACGAGGCAATGGGAGGACAGGAGGTTGCCGCAGCTGAGTGATTAGTCTCAGTGTGTTTATGTTTAGTATATGTTGAGTTGGTGTTAAGATGAACTTCCGAGTCAGAGCTGCCTTATTTCCTTAAAACACTTAGAAACTCTTTTTTCGAGAGTCAAGACATGCGTGGTGGTGGCTTTGATTCTCCTTGATTGAAGCATGTACAATGTTATCTTGCTATGTCAGTTTGATCTCATTTGATTCTCCTTGATTAAAACTTTATTTGGATGAAATCACTGTGCCTTTAACCAATTTCCATTGACCTCTTGACAGTGCACACTATGTGTGTTCCGAATGTAATTTATGATATATGGCAATGCAAGATAAATAATAGAAGAAAAGGTTCTCTTGGCATTTTTTTTATAATCTGTTGTATTTTTTATGCCTATTCTAGAAAAATGTTGTGCTAGCATTGACAGTTTAATGCTCAAATAGTAAAAAATGTGTATTTGCAAACTCATGCTAGATTTACTCCAAGGAGTTCATTTGTGATCTCGAGCATGCACTGTGTGTCAATTGTTCTGAATTGCTCTGCCCATTGCTATTCAGCAACCAAGCTGTACAGGCCAGCAACCAAGCTGTACAGGCTTTAGTGTTCGGTTGCTTGTAAACGCAGCTGTTTTTGGCTTCCTGTACAGTGATTTATGAGAGAGAGCTGCTGGAGCCCCCCGTGACCACAGGCACAGGAGCTGGTACACTTGCTGATGGTGAATAGGGTGCGCTTCTGCATGCTGGCATCTAGCTGCTCCCCTCATCGGTCATGTTTAGCTGGCGAAATTTTTTAAGGAAATAGTACCGTAGTACTTTCGTTATTATTTGGCAATTAGTGTTTAATCATAGTCTAATTAGACTTAAAAAATTCGTTTCGTGAATTTTGTCTAAACTGTGTAATTAGTTTTATTTTTTATTTATATTTAATGCTTTATACATGTATCCAAAAATTCGATGTGACGAGAAATCTTGAAAAATTTTACAAAATTTTTGGAACCGAACTGGCACATCACCGTCGTTGTTGTGCATCTGTATAAGATCTTGTTGGCTCCGTTCCGTGGGCAGACTAGTAGGTTAGGAGGTCAGAAATTTTATAATTTTATAGATTTGTGATTGTCAAGATACCACAAATTGACATCGAACTTATACGAGGCTGCATTATTCTGTGACCATTGTATGCCCAACCATGGATTTGGCTTGGACTCCGGAGACACGAGAGACTCGAATCCGAGTATCCGACTAGTCCGATCAGCTTCTGCTTGAAAAGAAACTGGTCATTTTTCTATGTCCACCCTCCTCCTTCCTCACATTTCTATCAGCAAGCAAGGTCCATTTGTTCCTCCCTCCGAGGCTCCGTCGCTCTCTTTCTCTTTCCTTATCCCCCGTGGTGGCCCGTGCTAACAGCGATTAGGGCTCCGAATCGCGTTTAAGCGCTGCGAAATCAGTGCTGGGGCTTCGTCCTCGAGTCGTCCTGCTGCTGGATGCCACCTCGTGTCCCGCGCCGACGCCAGTGCCTGTCCTCGGAGCCGCGGCGACGCCAGTGCCCGTCCTCGGAGCCGCCTCTCTCCGGCGATCACCGGAGACGGATACGGCCGGAGACGTCACTGCAGGCCGCGCTCGTGCACCGAAGCAGGTCAGCTCCCGAACCCCGCTGCCTTCTCCTACCTTCTCTTGTGGATTTTGGTCGACCTATTGCGGGGATCTTGTGAGATGACTGTGCTTGGTAGGGAATCAGTTAGAAACTATTACATAGGAGGGTATTTGTCGGGTAGACCTTTGCAAGTTTAGGATTGGAGCAAGCGGGTGTTCTCAAGTTTGGGATATGTCTTTCTTCCACCTGCTGTTCTTCAAATCCCTTCCTTTATGAATGAGATATCGAGCTTAGTACATATTAAGCTGGTGGAGATGCTCTTAGTAGTACATATTAAGCTGGAGAGGCTTAAGCTGGCCCGTTTGTTTTCAGCTGGATGCTTACCAGTTGCTGTAGGTACGATTTCAGTGAACCATGAAAGATTCATTTGCTTGATGATTACCATCTTCGCTAGCTTGTTCTCTCTCTCTCTCTCTCTCTTTCTCTGTTTTCTTACGAAAAGGTCTAATGATATGCTGCTCCAAAATCTGCAATTTGTGGTGCTTGTTTCGATTTGTTCTGGCAATTTCTCTCCTGATCACAAAGATTAGCCGCCCACATCTTTGAATCTGACAAAAGGGTTATAGAGTAATGTAGTGTGTCCATTATTGTATCTGAATGTATTTAAGATCAGGGTTTTCCTATGTTATAGTAAATCTCCAATTCCTCTTCTTCAGTTTACAATGGTAGTGGTGCTCTAGTGACAGATATGTTCATCATGTGTTATAACTTACATACACTAGATGCCATTTTAGCTTAGCATCTTCTTTGTCTATAATTCTCAGTGGCTTGTGGTTTTTTGCTGCTGCAGATGCCTAGTAGCTTCAACGGCCACTATCCTGCTAATGGTCTAGATGTCATTTTAGCTTAGCCATGCCATTTTTCTGTATACTTCTCAGGGGCTTGCGGTTTTTTGCTGCTGCAGATGTCTAGTAGCTCCAACGGCCATTATCCTGCTAATGGTGCAAAGGTTCTTCATAGAAAAGAAAAGAATAAAGAGGTACCCATGATATTATAGTTCCTGTATGTAATATTTTAAGGTGTTTCACATTTGAATAATGTAAGAAAAAGGTAAAATTGTATCATTAATTTGTTCAACTGTTTGGTTGAGTTCATAATATTGTTAATGCAGAAAGTACAGCTCGACAAAAATGCAGCCTCTTCGGCCTGCCAGAAGGACAGGTATTATATTGAGAAATTAGAAACAGAATTGATGAACTGCTATCAGGAAATTGGTATGCACTAGTAATTGTTCTGTTTCTCATTGGTCTGGCTACTCTATATCTAGTTACTTTGGCAGTCTTTACTGACTGCAATTGTAGACTATTTGCAGGATCAGTTAAATATACAGAGCGTTGAAGCAAACATCATGGGGGAGCATATTCACAGTCTTGAACTGAAGCTGACTGAACTTGAAAAGTTCCCAGAAAGAGTGAGAGTGATGGACAATGAGCTGATACGATCTGATTCTCAGTGCTGGCTTCTGATGGAAGAAGTCAGATGTAAAGAAGAGGAGTTGCAGAAGGCAGCCGCACAGATAGAGAAGCTTGAAAGTACAGCTTTAGATTCACAATGCGAAATTGAGAGCTTGAAACTTGATTTGAGTAATCTTGAGCAGAGACTACTTGATACCGAAAGCTTTACCCAACATGCTGCTGAGCACAAAGCTCAAATTGACAAATTATTGGGAGAACATGAGCTCCAGCTACACGAGGCACAGAGAACTATTGATCAACTTGTACTGGAGAATAAGCAACTGATAGAGCTATTGCCTGTAAGAGCTCCTAAACAATCCCCTTCTGGATCTGGGCAGCAAGTTGACAAAACATTGGAGAACGGTGTTCATGCAGAATGTGAAAGTGGTGATATAATTCTTGAAAAGATGGCAAAACGAAATGAAGAATCTGAACTTCTAATTGAGCAGCTCAAGGTAATTTGTTGTTTACCACATGTAATAAGAAATTGGTATAAGCTCTAATTTTGGTCAAGTGCCATCCTTGCTCCCAAACATCTTCCAAAAACAAATTGTTCTAAATATATTTTGCTATAGTGCATGCCTTAATTAATACTCGGATAAATTGAAGTAGCTATCTATTTTTTCTGGTTCATACTTGAACACAACTTTCCCTTTGATTGTGTAATGTAAGTATTTTGTTGTTTGTTAGGAAGAGCTTCGAGAACAAAAGTTAAAGGCAAAAGAGGATGCGGAAGATCTCACCCAAGAAATGGCTGAACTAAGGTACCAGATAACAGGCATGCTTGAGGAAGAATACAAGCGTCGATCTTGCATTGAGCAGGCAGCTATTCAACATATTCAGGAGCTGGAGACTCAGGTAGTGATATAGAATTTTTTTTTCACATCGTGTGATTGCACCTGGAATTAGTGTTTCTGAATTTTGTTCTATCATCTCAAACTTGAAGTTACTGGCATAACTAGTAACGAATGGACGTGTTGCCTTGGTCTTGTTATATTAGTGACTTCTTTGTCTGGTGTCTCTTACATTTCTGTTCTGTTCATGATGTTTGAAACAGGTCTCCAAAGAGAAGACAAAGTTGAGTGGGGCACTTAGGCGATTGCAGGAATCACATGAACTAGCTCACACACAAGCTATGGAGATTAAGAAGTTGAAGGCTGCTTTGGAGGTATGTGCATGTAGATGTAGATGAACGTGATACATGTACATGACATCCAAGATGAGTACTCTTTACAGTATTCCGTTCTTTGAGGTTGGTCACTTCATCATGGTACTAATGCGCCCCCATTTATTACACTGTAGAGATTTAACTCCATGACGAACCTGGGTACAGTTTGCAAATCTTGCTCTTGCGGGTTCTCTGCAATGTTGATAGAATTGTCTAATTGCTCGATCGAAGGACCGTCAGGCGGCGCCAGACCCCCCAGTTCCAACCACATTGATGAGAAGTCACAGAACCGAGCTCGAATAGAGTGGCGTCCTGGTGAAGCTTCAGATGGTGACGGCGGGTAGGAAGGTAGATCGCCAAATAGCATGTACATTTGAGTGTGCATTTGACCAACTGTAAATGCATATGCATTTGTTGCCTTAGCTAAATTTCACATTGTAAGCTTTCAATGGGAGTTAAGCTCCCCTTGCAGTGAAAGTGTTACCTTAAGATTTCACGTCTGTCACGAAATTTACCTGCAAGGATCTGCCATCACGGTTTTTGAAGCAAAGACACAGGATTTTCTACTCTTCAATTCTCCGACGCACAAAAAGAAAGTGCACGGATTAAATCAAGTTTGTTCTCCAAGGAAGTGCGAAGTTAGGTCTGTTTGCTACATTAAAATGTTATAAGAAAGTGTGCATTTTGCTGCTGATGGGTTCAGGTTGGAGTCATCTTGGGCTGAAATTTGAGTGTGGCTCCATTTTCTGTCTATTTATCCTTTGAATGAAAAATCTCCCTAAATATATTCAAAGTGTGGCTGCGAATTACTGGTCCATGCGGCACAATGATTTTTTTTTCTATATAAGGTCGCATTTATACCCAAGCCGTTTAGGATGCCAACGCAATCTACAAAAGTGACACATTAATTAGCAATTTCATAGAAAATACAGCCTTTTAAATAAAATTTAATTGTAGATTACGAAAAAAATCGTGGTGAATCTGATAATATTAGTTATTCATCGCCAACTACTGATTTTCTTTAAATACATCAACCGATCAGGTACTGATTTAGAACAAACTAAAGGCGATGCAGTGCAGGACGCGCTAACATGCAATTATTATATTAATTGCAGCAATTAGAAACCAAATGCACATCAGGGTCTTCCTTGAGATTTGGGGAAGCCCCACTCCTCCCCCACTACTCCCAGCCCCGGAGCACACAGGGAGGAGTACGGACGGAGGCCATGATCACATAGCAGAGCACGGGGAGAGAGACCTGCCGGGGGCCGTGAGGACGAAGGCAGCATCGCCGGAGACGGAGAGCGTCGGCGGGCGCCGCCGCGGCCGACCCAGGGAGGAATTTTCCACTGCGCTATTGACTCCTGTGGTGTTGTTGGGCCTCACTGGGCCTGGCGAGCTACGAAGCAGGCGTCGGTGAGAGTCTCGATTGCGCTGCTCGACAGGGCGTTAACCCCAAGAGGCCCAGCGCCTCGCCGCCGCCAAGCGCAGAGCAGCGCCGCCGCCGCCGCCGCTAACTCCTTCCCCGTCAGATCCTCGGCCCGCCGCTGCTCCTCTCTCTGTCGGGGGTGCGGTGAAGTCGCGTTCCTTCTCGTGTCGGTGAGTGATCCTCGCCCTCTTGGACGGACGGACGGATTATTTTTTTGTCGTTGAAGAGTTGGTGCTGTTCTCGATCAAGCCCATGCTCATTTCTGTCTCCGTCAGTTGTGTTGGTTGTAGCTTTTAGTTCTTTGTGCTGCGTGGTGCCCTACTTACCCAGTCCATCAATTAACCCGTCCATGTTCAGTTAGGCTCTTCTAGCGTGCCTAATAATTATAGTGCATTTTGGCTGTTTATCTGTCAATGTTCCAAGTGAACCCTCTTCTGTCTAGTTCCTTGTTAAACTTTAATAGTGCATTTTGGTTTTAGGGTTTAGCGATTCTTGTCTGTGTCAGTTAGTAGTTTTTAGCTGAGGGACTAGACATAATCACCAATCGATTGTCTTGAAAAATGTGTGATTTTGCAATCCCTTTTTGTCACTCTAAAAATAATTTAGCTCAAATATTTCCTTGGCAGCAAGTGTATTATCACGAAATTGTTGTCTGGGACAGCAAGAATGCTTTAAGGAACCACTGATAATCGTTCGGTGGTTAACTGGTTATGGATAATGACAATGGCGATGTGGATGACCTGGGATCAGGGTGGTTTGAAGTGAAAAAGGTAATGTTCTTTGCCTGTCTTATTTTCTCTTATTTTTCTCTGGTCATTATTTTCTCGTATGTTTCTGCATTATTATGCTGGGCCCATTCTTATTGTTGTTGTTAATTCACTATACACCCATTTTACAGAAGCATCGGTCCAGCTCAAAATACACATTGCAGAGGTCTTCAGGTGGTTCCAGCCTTAAAATTCCAAACTTACCATCACGGTCACGTGCTAACTGTAACAGTGACAGTTCAAGGTGGCATGACAAGCTGCAACACCCACCTCCGAGCATAAATGCTAATGTTGGTGTTGATGAATCTGGTAGTGGAGAAACAACAAATGTTGGTGAAGGATGCAATGATTTAGGCACCAGTGTCAGTGGCCTGAATAGTGGCTTAAATGCTTCAGCCTCAGAGGATATAGTTGAAAGACCTGAAGAACTGGTGGTGGCTGAAGAAACAAGTGAACCTCCCAAAACTGATCTGGCTGATCATGTAGATCCTTCACTGCCTCATGAACCCACCACCGGTTCAGACAGTCCTGCAAAACGTGCAGATCTTTCTCAGCATGTAAAATGTTATCCCAAGACAGAGTCAGTAGGTGTTTTGTCCAATACTCCTGTCAAGTTTGGAGACTTTGATGAAGTTCCAGGTCTATCATTACCTTCAGATTCATTCAGAGATAATAATTCTTCTAGAGGCCACAGACATAGTGAAGATGTTGCACATCTAAAAAATGTGCAAAAAGATGCAAGTGAACTCAAAGTGGAGATGGACACTTGCACTACAACTACGATTGATGAGGCATCTCCAATTATGGTACAGGGAACAGAGACACCCAATGATGATAAGAGTATTTCAAATGTTAATGGTTCAATAGCCTCAGCTGACTCTGTTTCCTTATCCTGCTCCAATAATGATCATGAAGTTCCAGTTACATCTTCCATGGAAGGTAGAACATTACTTCATGACCAAGCACCAGTTTCTGCTTCTGCAGATTTTGGATCTGAAAGTGCTGAGAGCAAAGAAAGATTCAGGCAGAGGCTATGGTGTTTTCTTTTTGAGAATCTGAATAGGGCTGTTGATGAACTTTACCTCCTCTGTGAACTAGAATGTGACATGGAACAGATTAATGAATCCATACTTGTCCTTGAAGAAGCTATTTCCGATTTTCAAGAACTTAAATCCAGAGCAGAGCATTTTGATAATACCAAAAATTCTCCTGGTGTACCAAAGGAGGGCATGCCAATGGCTGTGAAAGCTGACCATAGGAGACCTCATGCCTTGTCTTGGGAGGTCTGTTTTCTCACTAGGCATCCTGATTTCTTGTGTTTAGTTTTCACTTCCGTCTATTATGATTCATTGACATACTGGAAAAGCCTGCTGATGTAGGGCATGCATATTGAATGGTATCTTCACTGTGATGTGTTGCTAGATTGAGAACTCTTACAAAATTAATAGCTGCATGTTTTCCTTTCCTTCTTTCCGTGATAATTTTTTCCAGCTGTATTTCAGTGCTCTAAAGTCATGTTTGGTACAATCTTATAAGCAGGTCAGAAGGATGACAAGTTCTCCACACAGGCAAGAAATACTGTCTTCATCTCTAGAGGCCTTCCAGAGAATCCAATTGGAACTGGCATGCAAGCAGGCTGGTATAACAGCAGAGAGATTTACATCCAGCTCTTCTGAAGAAGTTTTGGGTAGCTCGTCAAAGCTGACTACAGCATCAGCAACTGTTAGGAATATAAGTTTGAAAGTTGAGAGTCAGGTGAAACTTCCTGATACTAGTGAGAAAAAGATTGCTGGCGAGAAGCAAAGTAGGGATGCATTCAAGTCTGGTAAATCGTATCCACAAAGTATGCCTTCCTATTCTGCAAGGGGTAGAAGAGGGTCACTAGAACCAATCTCTGAAATAGAGAAACACACCTTTAAGAAGGACAGGGAGTTGCCAGAAAACAAATTTGACAGGCTCAAGTCAACCGATGTTGTTAAAAAGAGTACAGTTCATCTTGAAAAGGAAAAACAAATTACAGCACCTTGGAAGTCCATGGATGCCTGGAAGGAGAAAAGAAACTGGGAAGATATACTGAAATCTCCTGTACGGAGTTCTCGTGTTTCTCATTCTCCTGGTGTTGGAAGAAAAGTTACAGACCGTGCTCGTGTTCTACATGACAAGTTGATGTCTCCTGAAAAGAAAAAAAGAAGTGCTTTGGATATGAAAAAGAAGCAGAAGAAAAGCATGCACGAAGCGCCATGAATCAGGAGTCAACTAGAGAGCGAGAGGGTTCAGAGGCTACAGCGTACCTCTGAAAAGTTGCATCGTGTCAATGAGTGGCAGGCTGTGCGCAGCTCAAAACTGCGAGAAGTAATGAATGCACGCCATCAACGTGGCGAATCTCGCCATCCTGAAGCATATCTTGCTCAGGTTGCAAAAAGAGCTGGTGATGAGAGTACTAAGGTCAATGAGGTCCGTTTTATTACATCACTGAATGAAGAAAACAAGAAATTCTTGCTGAGGCAGAAACTTCATGATTCTGAAATGCGGAGAGCTGAAAAGCTACAGGTGATCAAAACAAAGCAAAAGGAGGACACTGCAAGGGAAGAAGCTGTTTTGGAACGAAGAAAGTTCCTGGAAGCTGAGAAGATGCAGCGCCTTGCTGAAATACAGCGCAAGAAAGAAGAAGCTATTTTCAGAAGAGAAGAGGAGCGCAAAGCATCCAGTGCTGCACGAGAAGCAAGGGCTGCAGAACAACAACGTCGAAAAGAGATAAGAGCAAAAGCGCAACAAGAGGAAGCTGAACTTTTAGCCCAAAAGTTAGCGGAAAAGCTTCGTGAAAGTGAGCAGCGGCGCAAGTATTACCTAGAACAAATACGGGAGCGAGCCTCAATGGATCTTAGGGATCAGCCTTCACCTTTTCAGCGTCGCTTTCCAAGTAAAGATGGCCAAAACCGTTCTAGTTCTGCTAACAGCGGAGAAGATTCACATATAACTGGCAATTCCAGTGCTGCAGATTCTATGGCTAAGTCATCAAATAATGTGCAGACAAAACGAAGGATTAAAAAGATTCGCCAGAGATTAATGGCTCTAAAGCATGAATTTATTGAACCATCCATAGGTGAAAGTACAGGAATCACGCACAGGGCTGCTCTTGGAGCTGCCAAAGCTAAGTTAAGTAGATGGCTTCAAGACCTTCAGAGACTTCGCCAAGCTAGAAAAGAAGGTGCTGCCAGTATTGGTTTGATTGTCAGTGACATAACAAAGGTACTTCTCATTGCTCATGTATTGTTTGTACTATAGTGCTAACTATGTTTACTAATACCGTTTTCTCTTTATTTTGGTTTAGTATTTAGAAGGGAAGGATCTTGAGCTGCATGCATCAAGACAAGTTGGTTTGCTTGACTTCATTAAATCAAGATTACCTGCATCACATACTTCAAAGCCTGGAGCTTGTGAAGTCACTGTCTACCTTTTGCGCCTGTTGAGAGTGTTGCTCTCACTTCCAGCTAATCGAACTTATTTTCTAGTACAAAATCTTTTACCCCCAATTATTCCCATGCTATCAGCATCACTGGAGAATTATATTAAGGTGGCAGCATCCAACTCTGGAAGTTCAAATCTTCTGTCTAATAAAACATCAATTGAGAATACAGAGTCATCAGGTGAAGTGTTAGATGGATTTTTATGGACTGTGACCATGATCGTTGGCCATGTACACATCAATGATGAACAACTTCAAATGCAGGGAGGTTTGATAGAACTGATTGTAGCTTATCAAATAATACATCGTCTGAGAGATCTGTTTGCCCTTTATGATAGGCCACAGGTGGAAGGATCCCCACTCCCATCATCTATACTGTTTGGTCTCAACCTTTTGTCTGTCTTAACATCGAAACCCGGAAATTTCTCTACTATTGATTGGGAGTCCTGCAAATGCAGGACACTAGGTGGAAATATAGTGCAAGAATATGAATATCTTAGTTCACAGGACAGTGTGGGGTGCCAATCAATGACACTTGATCAATCTGGTGATGCCAAATCGCCAACCATATACAGTGAACTGGCTGAAGATAGCAAATCCTGTAGACAACATGACTTCAGCATTCCAGTGGACAGAAAATTGGTTGATGAAGCTAGTAAAGACTTATTAGTGATCTCTGCTGGCCTGAACAACTCAGCAATGCAACCGTCTGATTTGGGCGTTACTACAGAGAAGCATTCTGAAAGTCCTAGCCAGGGAGATGAAAATAGCACAGTGGACAGTTTTCTTGAAGGAAGAAAGGTGAATAATGTATGTGCATTGTATAATAGTCCTGGAAAAGGCAATGAAACGAATCTTAAGCAGCCTGTAATGCTCTTACTTTCTGCACTGGCTGAGACTGGCCTTGTTAGTCTACCATCACTTTTGACTGCTGTGTTGCTCCAGGCAAACAACAACAGGTCATCATCGGAACAGGTTTGTCCACCTGCTATATTGAGGTGCAATGTTTTTTTTTAGTAATTTTGTTATGCTGTCTCCAAACTAAATATCTGTATAGATCTTATGTTTTTCACACACACATTTAGATTATTTGATATGCCTAGCAATGGGTATACCACATCATCAAAATAGGTACTTTGTGTTCTTGTAACAAAAATGTTAAAATGGTGTGTACACGTTTTCTAGCGTGCTTTTATTTCTTATTAGGCTTTCGTTACAACATAAGAAGAAACAAGAGTTTTCATGCCATGGGAATCTATCTTCTTCTGTAGTTAGCAGAGTAAATCTTGCATGTTTATTGCATTTTAATCTTGCTGGAAAATTAAATAACTCGTTTTTCAGACATTGGCGATTCTTCCGTCAAATTTTGAAGAAGTAGCCACTGGCGTATTGAAAGTTTTGAATAATGTGGCGCGTTTGGATATAACCCTTTTGCAGCACATGCTGGTAAGTGCTCTTCATGAAAAGGACAGATGTTATCAGTGACTGAAATCAATGTAGTCTCAGGCGCAAACTTACCTGCTTTCTTACACTAATCATTGGCCATGATAACATTATAAATTTAGTAGACAGGTTCCAGGCATAATTTTTCTGTCTGGAAAACCCCACAATATGGCTATGGGAATCTTTAGAATATTACATTTGTTTTTTTATTTACCTCCAGAAGTTTGTTTTCTTACTGGGTTATGCATTATTTTCAGGCTAGATCAGATCTAAAGATGGAGTTCTTCCATTTAATCAGCTTCCTTCTGAGTCATTGCATGAACAAATGGAGAGTGCCTAACGATCAGGTGTCTTCATCTATTCCCAACATGAGTTCTTTTGTGGTCCATTTTAAGTTTAAAATATCCATTTTTTTCAATTACTTTCCACTTGTTTTGCACATTCAGTTACTTTCAACTTGTTCTTGTGCAATACTTTCTACTAGTTTTTGCACATTCAGTTCTTCCTTGTCTGTAATGATAGCAAGTTGCACCAATTACTTTTAACTTGTTTTGCACATTCAGTCACTTTCAACTTGTTTTTGTGCAATACTTTCTACTAGTTTTGCACATTCAGTTCTTCCTTCTCTATAACGATAGCAAGTTGCGCCTCTGTAGTTTGCTGTATGTCTGACTAGGTGGCAGTTTTTATGTCACTGGAGGAGACATTAGAATATAGCTACCAGCTCTTTTTATTAACTATGATCTTAATACTAACTGTACTTCTTGAACAAATGTCAGCTCTTTTTAATTAACTATGGTCTTAATATTATCTGTACTTCTTGAACAGGCGTTTTACATTAGATATATGACTAGTTTGCATATTTGTTATAAAAGAAATAGTGTGCGTATAAAATGTTCCACCTTGTAATGTCCATTATGAATGCATGTCGTAGTAAGTTGATGACTTGGGGTACTGGATCATGTTATAGTTTCTGTCGGTCTTGACCATTTGTGACCCTTTTGGATATTATTACCAAGAAATTTGGACGTACTGCCATTTTCTGAATCTCATGCTTGACTATTGTTTGCACTTTTCTCCTGAAATGGCTGCTTTTTTTAACAACTGCACCTTTTGTTCGCTCCCCTGTTCTCAGGTTTAAGGATTTGTGCTTTTTTTTTAGGTTGGTTTGCTGCTTCTAGAGTCACTGCTACTTCTTGGTTACTTTTCTTTGTTCCATGCTGGGAACCAAGCTGTTCTTCGGTGGGGAAAGAGTCCCACCATACTTCACAAGGTAAATAATAGTTTGTGTAGCCATGTCCCTTTCAATTTCTGTGAGTCGTGCAAAAAATCTGACGAGTTAGAAAACAGGTGTGCGACCTGCCATTTGTTTTCTTCAGCGACCCCGAGTTGATGCCCATCTTGGCTGCTGCTCTGATCGCCGTTTGCTATGGTTGCGATCAGAACCGAAGTGTTGTACAGCAGGAAATAAGCACGGATATGCTACGTTGCTTGCTCAAGTCCTGCCAAACTTCTGGATCAAATTCTCCAGATTCCACTGCTGTGGATGGTTCTGGAAACAATTCCAATGAAAGCATTCTGGAGATCAGGAACTCACAAGGTGACATCCCAACAAGGTCAAGCCGCAAAATTGGACGGCCAGTTGTTGGGAAGGGTATTTCAGGGGGCATCAGGTTCAACAGAAATAAGGTTCAAAAGGATGGTAGGGGAACAAGAGCAGTTGACGATGGGCCTCTGAAGCAAAGAGCTCAAGAAGCTTCATCGAGCTTCATGTTGCATAGAAAGATCCCAGCTTCTTTCTTGGACAGAGCCGAGTTCTTCTTCTGCAGTGAGACATGAAATCGGCTCTGTAGTTCACCTAACTTATATAGCACGAACTACTGAATTTACTATTTTGCAAGGATGGTGCTTCAGACTGATTCTCGAAACATTAGGGAAATGGACGTTTGGCCGAAAAGGTTTCCTGACCTGATATTTTGGTTGAATCTTCTACAGATAAAAAAATAAGTCATGTACGGAAGCAATGCACTGTTTGTACAGAAATACAGAAGAAAAAAACTGATGAGAAAAATCTGATTTCATATGGAAGAAAAGAACTGTCCTTAATTTACTGTCTTTTACTAGTTTTGAAACTACGACATGTTCAGTTTGGAGGTCGTCAATCAAACATTTGAACGATGGAGATGGATTGGAGATTCCGCAACAGATTATTCGGTGGGGCCAATTTGGTAGAGCTCTAAAGCGATTCTCGTCACTTTAGCTCCTGCTGCTTGCTGCTCCAGCCGCTCTAGGTCCCCGTTTAAACTGTTTTGTACAGCTTCTTGCTGCTCCATCTCCAGGCCACAGCAGCATAAAGTAAGCAAGTGGCCAAGCCAGGTTTGATGGCGGTGAATCGAGAGCTCCTTGCACAGATCGGGGTCGGCACCAGAGAACCGTGCTCGCACAAATTGAGGTCGGCCGGCTGTGAATTGGCGAAGAAGGGTGGAGGCGGATTACTGCGGCGAGGTACCGGACGACAACGGGAGCAGAGCATAAGCAGTGTTTTTTTTAAAATTTAACTTAGCGGTCGTTGAACTTGTCCCGAGTTCTCATTCACATCCCGGTACTTTTAAATTGCACATTCAACTCCGTAAACTTGTTTCGAGTTCTCATCCAGGTCCCGATACTTTTAAATTGCTCGTTTAGCTCTCTAAGCTTGTCTCAAGTTCTCACCTAGATCCTGAATTATGCATTTAGCTCTCTAAACTTGTCCCAAGTTCTTATCCTAGTCCTAGTACTTCATAAATACACGCCCAACTCATTAAAATTGTATTTTTTTTACCATTCCGATCCATCGCCTCCCCACACACTGCGTTGCATGTGCAGAACTAGCTTCCTAGGACCTACTTCACCGCTTAGCCATCCTTGTCGTGCTTGCCCTACCACACGTCCGGTCCAAGCCTTCGCTGCTATGGCCCTCCTCGATTCCGCTTGACTTGCTCTTGCTCCACCTCACCGTGGCATCGCCCCTTGCCTCGCGTCAATCACATTCTACACCACCACCGCTGCCACCACATTCCTTCTGCCCCCTCGTCGAGTAGGAGCATGCTCATTCTCACCACCTCTTCACACTTAGTTCCCCACACTCCCAGTCTTCCTCACCTCCCTCGACAACGATAGGGCCATGAGTACAGTGCAATAGGATGAGTGGAGCACGCGGTGTGGCAGTGCAGCGGCCACGACCTGGCCTAGCATGGCAGCATGGGTGAGGCACTGCAATGAAGATGCAACATAGGTAGGTGCGGGGTAGGAGGTCGAGCATGGTGCAGTGCTACATAGCTACGCCGGTAAGGCGGGCATGCATGTGCCATTTGGCGAAGGTGAGGATGGACCATAATGGTACAACAATACAAATTTAGGGACCTGAGTGTGTAATTTAAAAGTATCGGGACCTATATGAAGTATCATGACTTGGATGAGAACTTATGATAAGTTTAGAGAGTTAAATGTGCAATTTAAAAGTACCAGAACCTGGACGAGAACTCGGGACAAGTTCGAGGACCGCCGGTGAAATTTACTCTCTTTTTTTTCTGCTTCCCACTTGCAGTAAACAAGCGGGAGCAGCACCATGGCCGTGCGTCTCGCGGAGCGTAGCATTATCAGACTAGCCTACTCGGGAGCTTTGAATGTCACAGGTTCTATTTTGTTAACACGTTTAATAAATCATACAGGTTTACTCCATCCATGTACATAATTTTTTATATGTATCTAAATATACGATCTATCTAGATACGGTAGCAAAATTTACGAACTCCATCCCAAAAAGAATGCAACTTCTCGATGAGTCGACCAGTATCAACTTTGACCAAATATATAAAAAAGCATAATAAGTTATAACGCGTAATACGTATCACTAGATTAATTATGAACTATGTTTTCATAATGAACCTATTTAGAGATACAAATAATAATACTATTTTCTACAAATCTAGTCAAATTTGAGAATATTTGAAAAGTGAGATTTACATTCTTTAAGGGCAGAGTACCTAGAAAAATCAAAACAACTTACAATTTGGAACAGAGGGAATAGCAAACGACAAACAAAATGTCCAGTTACATGTACAAAAGTTTTAAACTATTGTTTTCCCCCTTTTTGTCAGAACCTGATGTAACTTAAACTAGTTCAAAATTTCCTTACAGCAACATCTGACAAGATGAAGTATATGTTGATTCAATTCCCCTGTTAAAACTGCTCCATAACTGCAGTAATATTGTTCAATTGACAACAAAGTCGCCACTGAAGATGGAGATTGTTGTCAAGACACACACCCACACACACAAAGTACAACAAGCGCTTGGTTGCATTTAACATGCACAAAAAAGGGGCGCAAGTGAAAAAGACCAGTGACCTTTTGGAACAATAACCTCAAGGTACATGAACGATGCCCTATTCAGCAGCTTTTTCATCAGCAACATTGCCAGGAAATCCTAAGGAGTAGGCACTGCCCGGGACGGCTACCAGCAAAAATTCGTCATCTAGTTCTTCTGTTGCTTCACTTGGCTGCAGTGAAAGGAAAGATAAGAAATGGAATAATAGTAATAACAAAAGCCAATGTAGGAGAAACAAATACACAAACGTGGGCAACGACATATAATTTGCATATGGTTGTCCAGAGTGTTAGAAAGGCAATATCCTAGCCATTACTAGTTCCTATATCTCGGCCATTATTGGCCTTAATAGCAGATCATATATGCATGTACAACCTGTATTGTTTAGGCTAGATGACATTAGAACACTTTAATTCTTTTTCCTTACATGTACACTCACTGTTGTATAAGTACAGCATATAGTAATGGAGAATTCATTCTACTCATTCTAGTAGCTTTCACAGAGAAGTACGTTGCTCAAAAAACATTTGCTCTTTTTTATTTGCAAAAATGATACAAAAATAATTAATGTCTACAGGAGAGACTACTAACTTTATCCTTTTGTTTATTCAAGGCGTTTTTCAGGTGCTCTTTAGCCTTCTTTCTTATTTCTTTTAGTTCCTTGTGCTGAGCTCTGATGACCTCATAATGACAAGCCACACACAGTGTTCCCATGTTCTCAAGTTTACATTCCCCTGATAGAAAATCAGAAAGATTATCATGCCATTCAACAATCAACTGCACAAAACTTATCAGAAAGATTATCATGCCATTCAAGAGTCAACTGCACAACTTTTGCACATATACCGTACCTCCTCCTTTATAGACAGGTATTATGTGATCTGCATGCCAAGCATTTCCATCAATTGGCTCATGGACAAGCTTATCTAGGCTGTGGTAGATGCAGGAAATCAGCATCAAAGCAACAAATTAACAGGATAATTATACATACATGATAATACTCAAAGAGTTTAAACCACACGACTCTGTTAGCCCCCTATAGATATGCAAAAGAATATGGAAAAGCATGATATCAACGTGCAGCACTTACAGTTTCTTTCTACTCACAATGTTTGGAGCAACCTTTCTGATGTATTCTTCTCGTTTTTCCAAGGGTAAGGGTTTAATGTGTTTGACAAGCTTGCAACAATCGAGCTTGCATTGGGAGCACTTACCACGTTCTATTTGAAACAGTGCTTGCAGATAATTACCAAGAAGCTTTATTACATATATATGAATTAATTTGCAACTTTCTTTGATTTTATATAACTGAAAATTAGTCCTACCTATTCAACCCCACCTACAAAAATTGTTCACTTATGTGGATAACAGAAAGAAGACTCACCTGCCGCAGGGCCCTGCCACTGGTTCTTAACCTGTATTCCTGGAAACAAGCTAGACCACAGAATAGATCTTCAAAATATTCTGGTGACTTTGCAAGCCTTCCACTGAACCAAGTAAAACAACATTATTGTGAGCAAATATTATTTGTTTATAATAACAAAACAGGATTTACTTCTAAACACAAGTTAAGGAGTCGTTACTTGCAAAGTCCTTGACAAAGTTTGCAGAGAGGTTCACCATCAATGGTCCAGCCCTGAGTGTACTGTCTCTCTTTACAGGTGCCATTACGCAACACCACCTGTCTCCATTCAGCATTTTCTGGCAAAGGATTACTGACACCATTCAATGGTGCGGCACGCCTCTTACTTCCCCCTTTAAGTATCCCCTAAAATGAAAGCAGACCAGAACAAGGAAAAAGTGACAGAGATATTCATCAAGCTGAGGAACACCAAAATAAATACTTGTGCCTTTCATGCAAAGCTTTAAAAATAGGTAAACACTGCCACCGCCCGGCCACCCCGGCGTCAGGTGACATAAGAGCGCAAAGAGTTCAAAAGAAAATTGTCTATACATCAAAGAAGAACACTGTAATTTGCTAGCAAACTATTTTTGCATAGTAAGGATCGCCCGGGCTCCTAAAAGCTTCTGGCTCTGCTACTGATTAGTACAGCTCGCAAAAGGTGATATGCATGGAGTGCTGCTTCTCGTATATGTACAGATACTGTTTTAGCACGATGATTTTGTGTGCTCTTGCTTTGGACATAATGAGCTTTCAGTGTGTAGCAAAACTAATAACATTTCAAGAGGTAAAAACATTACAATAGCCGAATGTGAAAAAAAAACAGCACTGAATGCTAACTAAGGCCTGAGCAACTGTAATAGACTAACAAAGTTACACCCATATGAATCTTGTTTTACAATGAACACTATTTGAACCCTTAATTGAATTAAGTAGCTTGATCTATAATAACAGCGTCAGGTGACATAAGTGGGCTATAAACAATTATGATTCTATACTAAAATGTGCCATGATACAGAATACATATAGTAAAAAACTTAAAATAGCATGTACCAGTTCCAGCATTCCTACCTAAAGTACAATATGGTAGTAGTTACCATATCCAAAATATAGTACTAATTTGGGATGCCAGAAGGGGATTTTTGGTGGTGTTAATATGAAGATGGATTTCAGAATATTTTGACATCCTTGAGCAAATTCCGCATAATTGCATGTTGTATCATTGAACAAAGACGTGAATCATTTAGATATGTAGAATTTCTTTGGAAAAAAAAATGAACAGAACTGTTATTGAACATGGCGTGCAATGTTCATAAGCAAAGCCGGATTGCGTGTGTAAAGAGAAGAATCAAATGAGGTCAACAGGTCCATACTTCTGTGCTATGGTTGATGCTATCTTTCAGAAAACACAACTCAAGGCTCAAGGGAAGTTGTAATGGCTTTCCAAGCAATTTATTCTGATCAATTGGTCTTAGTGCCATCCACTCTTTGATGAATGCCTTGAACACATTGCAAAATGCAGGAATCTTTTTCAAGAGCAGAGTTCTTGTTTTAACATCACTGGGAGAACATAAAGGTGAATTCAATTCTTCTGGCAGAAAATTTTCACAAAGTGGTTTGGGTCTTGAATCATGTCCAGGAACACAACTGTACAAGTGGATTCGGCCTGTGTGCCGGTTAACCTGCAAAAGATGATGATACTTCAGACGAATTTAGTGAAGAAAATCTCATCTTTAACTATGAAACAGCATGCTTTACACACTCGCTATCAAGAAAAGATAAAATCCAACTTTCTCGACCTAAATCACTGTGATTTTAGCTCATGGGACAGCTACATGTTCAAGCTTCACTGAGATGGCCATCCAGCGCACATGCATAGTTGAGTCAGCAACAGGATGGTTCACAAGCCCCACGCCTTCAACAGTCTCTATCTCCACTATTCTTTCCCCCCATTCCCATTCTCCTCTCTAAGCTAACCACGTCAATATCCTATAGAAAAATAAATCGACTAGCTTCCTAACTACAACTGTCGTATTTTTACCGAATACAAGAACAAAAAAGCCTCTTAGTCCCATTAACGATAATGCATGCATAGCACATGCAATCATATTCTTTTCACCTAAGAGAACACGAAACGCATCTGCCATCTCCCAAAACGAGTGCAGATTATGAAAGGGCTGACATTGCAGTAGTTATCCCCTCCTCTCCCCACAGCATAATAACATCATAGAAAAAACTAATATTCCTAGGTCTCAGAGTGCTTTAACCTCGAAAAATAGAAAGAGCACAGTCACAATAACAGACAAAAGATAGAACAAACAAGTAGGTAAAAAAGTGCCTTAACCTCAAAACGCAGAGATTCCACTTGAAATGGAAAATCTGGAACAGGTGCAGCTTGACTTAAGGACCCAGAATTTCCAGAAAGCCTCTTACGAGCCTAACATTTTTCAGCAATTAGATTGTTATGTATAAACGTCATATGATTAAAGAAAGCAAAGAAAGTTTATCACCTTTACTGATTTACAACTAGATATCACAGAGCAAAAGGCTGCAGCTGGCGAAAGAGAAACATCAATACAAGATCTGTCTTCAAGTACTGTTGGAGTTGGATTATTTTTCAAGGATGTGCCAGGTCTTTCATCCTAATATAGGGAAATAAGCACAGGAAGAATCATTTGTCAATCAATAATCAATAAGTTAGAAATAACAAGTGGCAAGTATGAAGCAATTGACAAATATTAAATGGAGCATCTCCTTTTTACCTCAAATTCAAGAGGAATTGTCCTAATGGTGAAATCCGAGTCAAGTTCCAAATCTTCGATGCCAAGAAAACCATTGATGGACAAATCATCACTTTCCAAAAGGTATTTTGGTCCATGGGTCAATCTGCATGAACCTCAAACAACTCAGCATTTGTTTTAGTAAAATCAGATAGTTATCGACATGGGTTCAGCAATCAGCATTAGTTCTACCTGCATTATGATTCTCCGAAGGATGAAGTTTGCATTGTGTTTCCTCCTCGGTGGTCTTGATTTCCTCAAGTTGGCACACTTGATCAACCTTACAAAGAAAGAACGAAGAATAGATAAAAGAGGAATGATCCTTATCATACAAACTATTCAGACAGGGGTCTTCAGCAGATTTTTTAAGGGGATAATATTCCAATTAGTGTACTCTATCAGATTTATTAAGGCACTGAATGTTGCTTGTTAGGCTGGTACATATCCCAGGTTAACTGACACTGGCTACACACTACAAGCTTAGATCTCACAACAGCCCTTCCAATCTGCCAAACGATAGTATAACATGGCAATTTACAAACGATAAATATTCTGAACTTTGTGAAAAAAAACAGGGTCTTAATGTGTGACCTACCTCAATCTCCCTTACAGCATCTTTTTTTCCATTCATCAAAGACGAGACATGGAACAGACTCTGGTTTAACTGGAGCCAGTGTGATTCATCCGATGTGTTCTGCAAGACCAACATTATTATGTTTGCCATTACAATGACAAGTTACAGAACAAATTGCAAAGGAAAACAAACGAACTGACCTTTCCACAGAATATATATATATGTTGACCCACGTCTATAAGCTCTATCCTAAGCCTAACAGCAACAGAGTGAAAGATATTCTCAGCAACCTCTTAATTACTCCCACCATTCCAAAATTTTAAAAGTCACTTTGGCTTTGTCCTAAGTCAAACTTTTTTAACTCTGACAGTTTGACGAAGTTTATAGAAATATATATTGACATCTACAGTACCAAATACGTGCACTCTCAAGATATATTGCATGGTGGATTCAATGAAACTAATTTGGTGTTAAAAATGTCGTTACATTTTTCTGTAGACTTGGTCAAAATTAGATAAGTTTGACTTAGGAGAAAACCAAAACAGACTTCTAATTTGGAACGGAGGGAGTACTAATGTGTGCACAAATTAACAATCAGGATCACATTGGCATTTCAATTAACTATGAAAGTAACCAAATATTGTTCCACCACTTAAGCTGCATTCTGTAATGGTTGAAAAAAAAATTGCAACAGCAAACAGAGTGAAAAAAAAAGGCTACAGACCTGAAGCAATTCTGAAGCTGATTTTGGGAGCTCCACAAAAATAACATTCTGAGCAGACGAGAAGTCTAAACCAACACCTCCAGCAGTAATTCCAATTATTGCAACCTTCACCTTTTTGAAAATAAAAAGTATAAAATGGATAAACATTAAACCAAATTTGGGAGTTATTAGACATGGAATAGGAAAAGTGGGGAAAATACAACAAAAGGGTGGGTGGGTGGGGCTGGAGGCAGCACCTCTGGATCCAAACGGAAAGAATCAACAGCTTCTTTCCTTTACCTTTGAAGTGTGCTTCCATCAATGCGAACAAATTTGATCCCATTCTCAGAGATAAACACCTATGTGAAAACAGTCGAACGTATAAAATTGCCTCATCCTGGATTCCATTGGTCAACAAACTCAACAACAACAACAACAACAACAACAACAACAACAACAAAGCCTTTAAATCCCAAACAAGTTGGGGTAGGCTAGAGTTAAAACCCAGCAGAAGTCATCAAGGTTCAGGTGATGGATAAGTCTGGCTGGTCTGGTCTTTGTGGGACTGCTGGCTGTTGCTGCCACAAGGACAGCATCTTAGAGGACAACATCTTAGACTAGCATCTTGGCATATGCTTGGCTGGCTAGCAGCCTATAAATATGTATCTCCAACTCCTCAGGTTGGCATGGCATTTGTATGAGAAATAAACCAGAAAATTGCCCCAACTCCTAGTATCATCCTCTCTCGATGAGAGTAAGAATTCTGCTACTACCAAGAGTAAGAATTCAGCGACTAACAACTGGTATCAGAGCCGTATTATCCTGTAGCCTGAGCATCTCCTGCTCATCTTCTTTCCCAGCCTCGCAACAGCCCCAGCTAGGAGCAGCAGCAGCTCCGGCCGCTCCTGCTCACTCCTCTCCCCTCTGCTGCGAAGCGGCCCTCTCCCACGCAGCAGCCCCCCGGTAGCGCGTCATGTCTGCAGGGCGATCTCGGCCTTCATCGCCTCGAAAGCACGCTGCGGCGTCGGCGGAGGCCGAACTTGCTGCAGCAGAGGAACGCGAGATGAAGCGGCGGCAGAGATTACCGCGGCGGCGGCAAGGCGTCGAGGCTGCAACAAACCGGGCGGGCAGCAGCAGCAGGCGGAGGCGGAAGCAATGCAATGCATGCGCGATGCGATCGTCGGCGGTGGCGCAGAGGTCGAGGCTGCGGCGCGACATCATCGCGAGCCTCGTTCTGCCGACGACAACGCCGACGCGACCTCGAGCTGCTTTGGGGGGAGGCGAGACGAGCGCGGGCGCGCGCGATGGGCAGCGCCGCCGCCCACGCCGCGGCGGCAGCCAGACGGCGGCGGACGCGCCGCCGGTGCTCCTGGAGGAGGCACGCACGGCGGTGGCGCTCCTGGAGGAGGCGCGCATGACGACGATGGCGGACGGGTCGATGGAGAGCGCGGCCTTCACAGGCAGCGTGTCTCTCTCTCCCCGGATCGATACCGTGGTTACCACGGGCTCTAGGCTGTCGTTAGGGACGTCGGCCCTGGCGGTGGGTGGCCTACCCTCACAAAGACCGACTACGTCGAGTGGGCTGCGGTGATGAGGGTAAAGCTCCAGGTGCGGCACATGTGGGAGGCAGTCCGGTACGGCGACGTCGACTACGACCTAGATCGACGGGCGTTGGATGCCCTCATCGCTGCAGTCCCGCCCAAGATGCAGTTCTCGCTTACCAACAAGCAGACTGCCAAGGAGGCTTGGGACGCCATCGCTGCGGCACACATCGGCAACGACCACGCCCGCAAGTCCACACTGCAGGCACTTCGCAAGAAGTGGGAGAATCTGGCCTTCAAGCCAGGTGAGGACGTTGATGACTTTGCTCTCCGTCTCAACACTCTGTTGCAGAAGATGGTGCAGTTCGGCGATGACACCTACGGCGAGGAGAGAGCTGTCGAAAAGCTCTTCCGCTGCGTCCCCGAGAAGTACAAGCAGATGGCTCGCTCGATCGAGTCTCTGCTGGATCTCTCCACGATGTCGATCGAGGCAGCGATATGTCGCCTCAAGGTCATCGACAGCGATGAGCCACAGTCTCTCTCAGGGCCCATCACCACTGGCGGGAAGCTCCTTCTCACTCGGGAGCAGTGGCTTGCCAGCCAAGGTGACCGGAGGAAGGGGGAGCCTTCTTCCGCGACAGGCGGCCGCAAGCGTGGCAAGCCGCGCAAGGCGCGCAGAGACGCCCAGGCTGGGGCGCGAGGACGTGCCGAGGGTGATGCCCGCGGAGGCGCCCAGGGCGGCGCCGCCGGCAGGCACAAGCCGGCACGAGACGACACCTGCCGCAACTGCGGCCAGCTTGGCCATTGGGCCAAGGACTGTCGACAGCCACGACGCGGCCAGGCCCACGTCGCACAGGCGGAGGAGGAGCCGGCTCTGTTCATGGCACATGCAAGCATCGAGCTACCTCCAGCGGCACCGGCCGCAGCGGCTCTCCTCCACCTTGACGAGCCAAAAGCACACGCCCTCCTCGGCGACAGCTCCGGCAACGACAAGACTGACGGGTGGTGCCTCGACACCGGCGCCACCCATCACATGACCGGTCGACGGGAGTTCTTCACCGAGCTTGACTCTAGCGTCCGAGGCTCCGTCAAGTTTGGGGATGCCTCCGGCGTGGAGATCAAGGGCGTCGGCTCCGTCATCTTCACCGCCGTGTCTGGTGAGCACAGGCTGCTCACCGGAGTCTACTACATCCCCGCGTTGAGGAACTCCATCATCAGCTTGGGACAGCTGGATGAGAATGGTTCGCGCGTGGTGGTTGAGGATGGAGTCATGAGGATTTGGGATCGCCGTCGCCGCCTTCTTGCCAAGGTATCCAGAAGCGCAAATCGACTCTACATCCTTAACGTGCAGGTGGCACAACCCCTCTGTCTCGCTGCTCGTCGGGATGACGAGGCGTGGCAGTGGCACGAGCGCTTCGGGCACCTTCACTTCGAGGCCCTGAAGCGGCTCAGTGCCACGGAGATGGTGCGAGGCCTGCCGTGCCTCGACCATGTGGAGCAGCTCTGCGACGTCTGCGTGTTGACGGCGGATGATCGACTCCCCTTCCCGGCGGACGAGCTTTCGAGCCAAGCAGAGGCTCGAGCTTGTGCATCGAGGACTTGTGTGGCCCGTGACACCGCCACACCGGGAGAACGACGCTTACTTCCCTCTCGCTTTCGTTGATGACCTCTCCCGCTACATGTGGGTGACGGTCCTCGGTAGCAAGGGAGAGGCTGCGGACGCCATCAGGCGCGCGCAGGCTGCTGCGGAGGCGGAGTGCGGCCGCAAACTGCGCGTGCTACGCACCGACAACGACGGCAAATTCACGGTGGCTGAATTCACGTCGTACTACGCTGATGAGGGCATTCAGCGCCACTACTCCGCGCCGTACAGCCCGCAGCAGAACGGCGTCGTCGAGCGGCGCAACCAGATGGTTGTGGGGATGGCTCGGGCCCTTCTCAAGCAGAGGGGGATGCCGGCTGTCTTCTGGGGAGAGGCAGTGGTGTCGGCCGTCTACATCCTCAACCGCTCGCCTACCAAGGCGCTCGACGGCAGGACGCCGTACGAGGCTTGGCATGGGCGCAAGCCGGCGGTCTCCCACTTGCGGGTCTTCGGCTGCCTCGCGTTTGCCAAGGAGCTTGGCCACATCAGCAAGCTCGATGACAGGAGCACTCCGAGAGTGTTCATCGGCTACGCGGAGGGCTCGAAGGCCTATCGAAACCTCGACCCGAAGACACAGCGTGTGCGCACGGCGCGTGACATTGTGTTCAACGAAGGGCGAGGATGGACATGGGACAAGGCGGTGGACGACGGCTCGGCTCCGACATACGACGACTTCACTGTCGAGTACGTCCACTTCGAGGGAGCTGGGGGAGTAGGCAACTCTTCTTCGACGAGCGCGTCTACCCCAGTCCCCGAGCCTCCACCGACCCCGGCGCCTGCTACTCCGACAGCACCACACTCTCTAGCCAGGACCTCGGCTGCGATGAGTTCTTCGCCGGCTCCACCACAGCCAGCACCAGCACCGATAGGCTCCTCTCTGGGCACATCTACTCCAACACCAGCTCGTGTCGAGCATAGCCCGATTGATCTCGCTACTCCGCTCTCTCACGACGAGGAGCGTATCGACGCGTACCACGACGGTGAGCCGTTGCAGTACCATACGATAGAGAACCTTCTCGGTGACCAGCCAGTGCCGGGACTGGTGCCTCATGACCTAGAAGCGCAGTTGCACCTTGCGTGTGACGACGGCAAGCCTCGGTCGTTTGCTGAGGCCGAGAGACACGCGGCATGGCGCGCCATGATGCAGTTGGAGATGGATGCGGTTGAGAAGAACCGCACCTGGGAGCTTGCTGACCTTCCTCGTGGTCACCGCGCAATCACCCTTAAGTGGGTGTACAAGCTGAAGAGGGATGAAGCCGGCGCCATCGTCAAGCACAAGGCTCGCTTGGTGGCACAAGATTTTGTGCAGCAGGAGGAGGTCGACTTCGACGACGCCTTTGCTCCCGTGGCACGGATGGAGTCCGTGCGACTCCTTCTTGCGCTAGCTGCCCAGGAGGGTTGGCGTGTTTATCACATGGATGTCAAGTCGGTGTTCCTTAACGGCGACTTGAAAGAGGAGGTCTACGTGCACCAGCCACCGGGATTTGCGATCCCCGGCAAGGAGGGCAAGGTGGTCCACCTGCGCAAGGCCCTCTATGGCTTGCGGCAGGCACCGAGGGCGTGGAATGTCAAGTTGGATTCCACGCTAAAGGGGATGGGCTTCGAGCAAAGCCCGCACGAGGCGGCCATCTACCGACGGGGCAGTGGAGGAAATGCTCTGCTGGTGGGTGTCTACGTCGACGACTTGGTGATCACCAGCACCAAGGATGCGGAGGTGGCGGCATTCAAGGAAGAGATGAAGGCCACCTTCCAGATGAGTGACATAGAGCCTCTCTCTTTCTACCTGGGAATCGAGGTGCACCAGGATGACTCCGGGATCACGCTTCGACAGACCGCCTACGCCAAGCGCATCGTTGAGCTAGCGAGGGTCACCGAATGCAACCTAGCCCTCACTCCGATGGAGGAGAGGCTGAAGCTGAGCCACGACAGCACGACGGAGGAGGTGGACG